AAGATGGGATTTTGAGTAATTTGAACTGAAACGGTAGCGACTTCAACGGCGGTATTCACTCCCTCGCGAAAACGAGAAATTGTTTGGGACTCGGCCCATTATGAAACATTTCCTGGGGATTTGTAGTAGTAAATTCGTACTTTTCACATTAAAGGCACGATTCACGATAAAAATGGTTATTGAGTTCTTCCTTTAGAAATACTCAGTGGCCCCATGGGCGGTAGAAGGGACCCTCTCCCAAAATCTCGACGGTCAGGACATAGTGGAAGCCCTGTTGCTGGCTTGAGTGGCTTTCCCGCCTCTCGATCGATGCCACGTCAGATGAGTGTCGAGGCTGTACAGATTGCTATTATTCCTTCTAGGACCCACACACAATCTGCTGATCGCCGTGTGATGAGGCGATGTTCTTCTCCCATTCTTTTTTCGTCCCGTTATTCTTTTTGCTCCCCCGATCCCTTTTTGGATTTCCTACTCCAAGAGGTTGGAAAAAGTGAGCCATTTTTGCTGGAACTTGGTTTTTTTGTTTACTTATGCTATAAGTGCATGAAATGACGCGCTGTGCGTAGCTCGTCCAAACGCCCCACTCTTCTTCATTCTTCTGGTCTCATTCTCGTCAAGCCCCCTTCTTAACGGTTTTTTGAAGCCTTTTTTCACTTCGGAAACACCGATCCCGTAGTTCCTTCGCCCTCATTGCACTATTTTCCATCTTATATTCCATTTTCGCATAATCTGAGTTACCCAAAATTATTGTAAACTGTGCCTAAGAACGATCGTTCCCGTACAGAAAGATTTATTTCCCGTGCGCCTGGTGAGAGTTCCTCCCTTTAACAGGACTAACGTTACTGTGGACAATGTGCTAGCTGAGTCCCGCTTACGGTGAGTTAGTGGTGATAAATTCCAGTGCTTGGAACTGTTAGCATTCTCACTCACCTGATACCATGCAGTTTGAGGTGCACACAGTGTAGCGCCTCCTTGAATGGCCACATACTGGGGGTAGGACAGAACACTCTGAAATCACCCTGCTTGTACTTTGTTCAGAAAAGAGTCGCTCTTTTGAAAGTAGTCGGTTAAACACTTTAAACTTAACACAAACTTTGAATGCCCAAGTTATTCTGCAAAATTTACTTTGAAAGGTTCTATGCTGACTTGAAAATCAGCTCATAGAACCAGAACCAGTCTATCCTTACACCTTTTACACGGTATGTTCAAACACACTCTCTCCTGAACCGGTTTACTTAACGCCTTACAGAACCGAATGCGCTCCTCTGAGTGCGATTGTGCAATGTGGCTCTGTGGGAGCTAGACCCACAATCACGTTGGTTAGTGGTTGTGGGTCTAGCTCCCACAGAACCACATTGCGGATTGACTTGTGCTCTCTTAGACAGCCTAGGTCCACCTTACAAGATAGCCGGTCATAGCCAACCTCTGCTATTGCAGTTTGGGCTTCGTACATTGTGCAAGAAGGGTTTGACTACAGTAAATAGCAGACATGCAAGATACAGTACCCCGTGGATGCCACTGAATACTTAAGAATACTGCTAGGGATCACGTTGTGTGTAGCCTCAGCTCAAAACCACTGTCGTCTCACATTCTTGACCCCACGTCTGGGGAACCTCGCATAGTAGACCAGTACTTCCGCAATCTAAGTCTTAAGAGGTTACTTACAATTAGATTGCAGAAGTACCGGTATACTATGTGAGTCAAAATCAAAACCATAAATCATAACCAAGAGTGGATTTGCACAGCAATGAAAGTAGCGGGAGGCCTTGCAATCATCCCCTGCTGTGTGCTTTAAACAAAAAGTCTGGGAATCTCATCAGTGGTGGAATGTGGATTAACTGATTTGAACTCACCCGAACCCACAGTCCTCCGACAACTGCCCCACACATTTGCGATATGATGTAGAACAATGCTTCGAGCGGTGAAATTTTACGTGCTGCTGCTATTCCCACAGTGACAGCAGGATTCACATGGGCTCCACTAAAAAAGCTTCACTCAGCTTGAACTGACTTCACCCTATAAAGTTATGTCTAACAGTGAAAATTCTGCTGATAGATTTACTCTGGGTAGGGGCTGGGCATATCACATGGATTAGTCAGATAGCCCGATGCTTTCATTAATCTTCACCTTCAGGAGGTGCTTTTTTCATCCGGTTTTATTCAGCTTAAGCAGGATTTCATGGAAATCATATATGAAGACCATACCAAATTTCACAGATAGGCCTACATTTTCGAGATGTTCGGTGTATTCGATTCCATTTCGCTCTGTGATGACTTTTGGATACATGCATACGTGGTTCTTCGGTTCCCACGAATCATTTAAGAAGTGCTACTGTTTTCTATACGGCGCAGGTGGTGTAGTGGCAAGTAGCGCCCTATCTCACACGCACGGTCAGGGGTTCGAATCCCGGATCGATACCCGCCTAGGCCAACCAAGCCCTCCATCCCTCCGGGGTCGGGTAATTAGTACCAGACTCGTCTGGGAGGATAAAAGCGCTGACTTGTACATCGGCTGGCCACCGCAAGTCATTGTATAGGCCACGTACGTACTCATTACGCCACTACGATTCTGAATCGAAGTCGAGTGCGTGGGCGCATCCCTCAGACGGGACTGATCAACGCCAAAAGCTTTATCCTTTAATTACTGTTTTCTATTATGGGTTGTAGTAGTGAAGTTCCATCTAAGCGAGGGAGGGAGAAGGGTTAGATGCTATGAAGAGTAAAGCTTGGGACGCACCCAGGTGGTTTTTCTTTTTTCCTAGCCCACGAAAACCCACGAAAACTGAGGTTTTGTTGTAGTTTCCCACCGGTTTCTATAGTTCTGGTTTATTTGAATTCTCCCCGAGTACAGTAATTCCTCTTATAGCAACCCTGTCAAATCAAAAGCATCTGATTCGAAGGAGCTCTAAACAGAGAAAAAGAAAACTTGCGCTTACTTTGTCTTTTTTGATATATTTGATCAAAACCGTAGAACACGGTCATCAAGCTCTACAAGGTGCTACTTTTAAAATGTTGAAAAACTTTTTTCTGCGATCATTCGATTTCGATTTCGACCCTCAGATTTCCTCAAAATCGAGTCGAAAAACCAACTTTGAGAGTAATCAGCTTCAAATTAGATCATGACACGAGAAGAAGTAAAAAAGGACAGCTTCTCGTTTACCATGTGGTTTAGGACTTCTTCCAACGGGTACGGTAGTAATGGAAAAAACTGTGTGAATGCAGAGTTTTTCAATGCTCTTTTCATTGGTTCTCCATACTTTTGAGCTCATTGTCAGACCCGTATATGGATCTATGTTTTCGCAGGAGGAAAACCTAAAAGTCTTCTCAAATAGAACGATTCACGTACCTAATATGTGCAAACGTTGCCACATTAACAAAAATACAGAATCCATGAGTGAATGCTGCATGAAGCACTCCGTCATAAGTCGTCAGACCCTGACAAGATCCTGAAACATCAGCAGCTTGATCATGAAGTCGCCAGAATTAGCATCAACGACCTACTCTCTTTTCCTATCCAGTGACATGGAAGGGTTCCTAATTATTATTTGTTCAAACTTATATAATCGTTATTTTCTCTTTTTTATCATTAGTATATTATATCATACCATATCTATTCAATTTTGTCAATAATATATCTTACAGTAGGATATCACTTAATATATTGTTGTATCATATGATATCATATTGTCTTAGAATAATTTTACTTTTTATCTGAGAAATGTAACTTAAAACTGTAACATTCGAACGCTCATTCAATAAACTCATGGCAATTGTCGATTTTTTCCCAGCTTCCGTTCTCATCACATGTTTTCCTATAAAGGCACAATTAACGATAATTTCGTGGTACCCATTTTTATTCAAAAAGCGGAAATATAGGTTGGGAATAGTTCATCGGTAGTGAAGAAGGCGAGAGAATTCGCCGATTTCGAGAAAATTATGACTCCTCGAAAGTAGGGAAAACAGGGGTTGGACGAGATTGCCATGACGGAAACAACATGGAAGGGGTATTCGGACGAGATTTCAGTTATTGCAACTTCACAAAGAGCTGACTGCATCAAGCCATAACTGTCTAAAATTGCCCTTTCACTGTCGATATGGGTCATGACAAGTTGTTTGAACTTCCTAAATGGGTTCCCTTGTGATCGGCGCAGCCCTTACGATCCGATGAGACTCGTCCGAGAATACACACGGGCCAATCTTTGAGCTTTTATAACTCCCTAACCAGGCCATTTTCCGATCTAATAGTGCCAGCTATGATATACGCGGGAGCCTCAAATTCATCCTTTCATCTTGTGGGGGGTGGGGGGTTTCAGAAACCATTTCTATCGTGAATTGTGCGTTCAAATATGAGAAACAGGCTAGAAACAGGCAATCAGACTTGAAGGTATTACTGCTTAGTTTTGAATATTCCGGAATTCTGGTTTTATGTCTTACTTTTTTCTGTTTTTTTTTACCGTGGTTATTAAAAGATTAATCAAAAATCTGATGTATACCATCGGTAAACATTGCAAAATGAGAATTACCTTTTACTACTAATCATTACCCATGCGAATTGGTCTAATGCATCTTGTGGGAAAGATCCCCGAAACTTGGTCTCAAATTGATTAAATAACCAATTCTGATCTGCTTAATCTCAACACTTCCTAAGGTGAGAGGAAATCCAGACGTTTTTCCCCTTCCAGGCAGCAACTCCGCTCACTAAGGATTTTTGGAAGCGCATATGGGGAGCCGGTTGTTTAGCGCGATGGGCGGGGTCGCGCCGCCTATTNAATAGGCGGCGCGACCCCGCCCATCGCGCCAAACGACATACACCCGCGCATATGTCTGGGTGCACTTCGTTGCACGCGTTTGTCTAAAGTAGGTCACGCCGTAGCCGTCGCATGCGGCGGGTCAGCCCGCAATCTTCGGAAAGTGTCGCAGTTGTAAGCGGGGCATACGAATTGCGCTCGGTCCACGACAGTCAGCCAAAGAGAAGAGAACATGGACAAATGCAAATCATTCCCTCCACCGACACTTGGTGGTAGTATTGCCGTGTGACCTCAGTGGTGTGCGCCGCGCGCGAAGTGGGCGGGATGATCTACTTCCGACGGACGCGCGCAACGGACGTTCTCCCATATGTCTCGTTTTGCGTCTAATCCGTACAAATGCTCCCCTATACTTTTCGGTTCCTTCCCTAGAGCTTACTGTGGATGTTAGCACGGGTAGATGGTAGGAGAAGTAAGAAGAAGGTATCTTTTCTACAAAAAAGGCGATATACCGTAAAAATTCACATTCAGAGCATGAAATATTGATAATGCACTCGTATGACAATAATTTAAAAATAAGCTTTTTAAAATAAAGATTGTAAGTTTTGTAAAGCACAAGAAAGAATCCTCGAATGCCCATAGTACGAGAACTAGCTACCTAAGGTATTTCTGTTTATACCGAGTTATGGAATAGATTATCGCCCTCCTTCCCACCAGAGCTAGGGTGATGATCTAATCATTTTTTTATTTTTTATTTATTTTTATTTTTCTTGAACAACCGATTTCGGATAATAATGATTTAAAAGCTTCCTTGCAAGGCATTTATTGATTCACTGGGCGAATGCACTCACCTACAAATACGAACATCATCACGCCAAGGAATTCGGCTGCACATCTCACCCATAAGGGATAGATTTTACCGTCTGCCTCACTTATCGTATTTGTTTCGGGTTCTTCGTTATACATTGGGTTTCCTCTCTAAAAAATATGACATCAATTTCAATTAACATCAGTAAGTCACTTCCAATACCACAATCAATTTTTTCGAAAATTCTCGCGAGATGCTATGATTATTTTCAAAGAGATTTATGTTTATGAGTGATTTTATGATTTTCAGGTGATTTTATGATCCCAAACGATCCCATCCCCCAAAATAAACTTTTGGCCAGGAAAAGCAGAGGAGGGAGATGGGATTTGTGGGTTGGAGGGGCCGGCTGGTGGCTGGAAAGAATATGTTGTATGCGAGTCTTCTGAGTCCTTCCCGATGCTGGAATTATCGCTCATAACCGAAAACGCTTGTGATCAAGTTGTGATAGTGCTCAACAAATCTGAAATAACTGGCTTACTAATGAATTTCTTTTATTAAAAAACAAATAGTCAAGGAAAAAAGGATCACTGCATTGGCTTAGAGACCTTGTAAGGGAATGGGCAACTTTTCGTAGGTGAATTGGTGGGCCAAATGCAATTCATAGGGCTAATACATCTCTGGGCAAATGTTGACACATCAGTGCCTATTTTGTGGAGCCCTTTGTTAGTTTTTGTTCTAGAAAAAGTTCTGTAGAGCATACATAATAGGATGAATGAGATACACAGAAAGGCACACGACCTCAGTTTGTATCGATCGGGACAAATATGGAAATGGCTTTGGAAATATGACAGTCCTCATTCAGATGGGGTCAGTCACGACAAAGGAGAAGGCAAAACATGGATGCGTTCACTGTAGAGCTTCAAAACTATGGGAAAGGGTATGTAGTAAACCCCTTGGCAGTTGGGTAGTGTTCGCCACGCTGTAGGGAGACGGTGATAGAACTGGACGCTAAAAGGCACTGTCCACAAGATTGAGATTGAGATACATATTTCGAGTGAAGTAGCGGAAGGTGATGGTGCAGAATAACGTGTCGTTGGCGAAAAAACTGCGAAAATCTGCGGATTCCAAGGAATATGTATAGGGCTTCTTAAAAATAGAGAAAATAGGGGTGTTTGGGACCACGATGTTGGAAATGGTGTTTGAACAGTATTCGGGCGAGATACAAGTTCGTAGAAGTGAGTAAAGAACTGGTCGCAATTAGCCAAAAATACTAAGAGCTGTCTTCCACTGTTGCCGTAGGTCACGACTTCGAATTTTCAACATGTGCGCTCCACTGCGAATAGTGCAATCTCTATAAAGCCGTTGAAACACGTCCGCCTTTGGATGTGGACGTTGACATGGCCCTTTGAGTCTTATTGAGCCTTTGTGGACCGTATTCCGACCTGGCAGTACTCTGTATGCCATATCATGGTGTCTACAGGATCGTCCTCATGGGGAAAATATCGGAAACTATCCCCTGAGTGAATTGTGCCTCCAACATTGTGCATTTTTGAGAGGTCGGCTATACATCATCCCTCTCAGACCTCAATGCAAAGCAGAAAGTCGAGTTGCTAATGGAACAAACAAATTGAAATAGGCAAGGTGTGGGGACAGACTTCACCTATAACACCGTTTTCTTTCTATAGTGCTGTTTTCAATTCGAGTGGATTACTTCCATAATCCAGAAACTAGACCTAATGCCGCACCCGTGAGTCTCTTCAGACGATGATGACAGTCCCAATTGTGCTGACCGATCATATTTAGTGACAAGGGTGTACTTGGGTGTTTGCTATATCAATTCTAACAACCGGCTCCCTGAATGACACCAGCATGTCTCTTTTCTGACTTTCATAATGGGAGCCGGATTATGGACTCAGCTCCTTGGAGTCTAACAATTTTTTTGCAGTTTGTACTGCAAGAAGCTTATGATTTTATTTATTTTATTTTATTTTATTCCCTGGCTTCCCCACTCTTTTGGGCCCAATTCGAAGTTTTGTGCCTCTCCTCGTTCTTCACGGTCGAACTACACACACGGACGAAATGACATAGGTCGGTATTGCTTGTCTTCTAGATCTCCCGCTTGACGGTTTCCTGAATCGACCGGCTCTTCAAGATTTCCTACAATCGGAGGTCGTACGGGAAAGGTGACAGGAAGACTGTGACGACGCCACAACCATAAGTAACGACAAATGAAGATTAAGCGCAGTCCGAATCATCGAGGAAAGGCCGACAGCATGGGCTCATTTCACAGGATTTTTTAGATGATCGCAGGCTTAGACTTAAGCCTCATCTTCACCAGAAGGCTGCGATCCAATCAGACTATTGAAACGGCACGTGTCAAGAAATGCCAGACTCCCATGCTCTTACACTATGGGAGTCCCTTTTTGTAGGGTCCGCTTCGATGGTTTAGAGCATGAAGATGCAAGTCAAGAGTCCTGGAGATATCATCGATGGACAAGGAATCGCCCAGCTGGTTTTACACCAGCAAATTGTGTACCATGGGTAGAACACCTCTTGTCTTGTCGATCAGAGGAAGATGCCCAAAAAGGAAGGAATGAACCGCCATTCATTAAGGCAATGAAGACCGGACATTCTAGCAGTCTCACAGGCTACGAAGTACTCCGAGAGTACTAAAATCAGGGAGTACGACATCACATCGAAGCCTCGACTCTCAAAATGAGCCCTTCGCCGATATTGGGGCAAAATCGACGTCAACCAATGAGTAGGTGGGGTGTCTCTTCCTTCGAAAATCTGTTAAATGACCACTCTTGGGTCTTACTTCGTCTTCATATTTCTGTGCCATCCTGACACACGATATCCAAGTTTTGTTTAGCTGAGAGGAATCAAAAATTCGGAAAAATACAAAAAAAAACAAAACAAAATCATTAGAAAATACAGAGCGCAGAAAATTTGTCATAACTAACACCGCACAACATCAAAGACAGTTTTCACGTTCTCAGTCGCTTCTTTTGATTGAAACTACCCCGTGAATGGGAGATGTACACTTGCGCGTAAAATCGATAATGCACTTCAAAGTGAAAGCGTTCAGGGGGGAGCGCTTCAGAACGTGAAAACTGCCCAAAGATGTAAACTAACGAACGTTGTTTTGTTGTTGTGAGTTATTTCGCGAATAACTTCTTACTTCAGTGAATGCTTCACGTGCTTTTGTATTGTTACCCACTGTCACGATGGTTGACATATTGTACCTGAAAATAATTTAATTTCCAAAAGTCTTTTCTTAAAATCCTTCCGATGAAGAGGTAATCCGTTGCTAGTACAAATGAAAACACGGAAAAATCGAGAATCATAGACTATCCATATATAGGATATATGCAAACAGGAGTCTTATTCAATCTGTAGGAGCGATGAGTTCTAGGCATTAGGTCCGACTCACTGTCGTGCGTCTAAATCGGCCGCGGCAGTATAGACTGCCTTCTGTGACTGTAGACTGTTAGCTGGCAAGATAGGACTCTTCATTGGGAAGGCAAGAGGAATCCCTGGGTGATAGATGAGCGACTGCTACTCAAATGGAAGCTCATTATAGATGTTAGTACCCCTTTCTCAATGCTATTGGACCATCATTCGTAGCACTGGTTTGCCTGTGCCTGAGTCACCTTCATGACCCTGTTGTGCTCGGACCCAAGTGTCTGTCAGTTTGATCAAAAACGATAGCTAAAACTCGCTTCAACGGGAAACAACGTCAGCAGTTGTTGGGTAGATTAGAGGAGGGATAAAAGGATTGTATTCAATATTTATTCTACAAATATTGATTCGCCTGTCAGAATTTCTATGACGGTTTTGGTAGGAAGAGGTTTTTGCTGGGCGTTGCCATTTTGGAAGACGATTTTGATTCTATCTGACCATAGCGCTTTTGAGTCCTGGTCAAAGCGGATATGTCATGTGCACATAAAATTGATTTCCCGCAATAGCTAGCAGTCATTCTTGCTGCCTATGTAAGAAATATTGCACACTTCTGTATGGTAACATTCATTTGATGCTGCAGGGATTATAGTAAGCTTCTTGGGTGGTCTCTGAAGTGACAATTACCTCGGAATCACGACGACACCTTATTGGTTTCTGAGATTCCCCCACAGAATGAATTCGAGGTCCCCCTTGTCCACCATATCTGGCACTATTAGGTCATAGAACGGCCTAGTTAGGGAGTTGTAAAGGCTCAAAGATTGGCCCGTGAGTATCCTCAGACGAGTTTCACCGGCATTGTAGAGGCTGCAACGATCACGACGGAACCCATGTAGGATGTTCAAACAACCTGTCATGACCCTAGGGACAGTGAAAGACACTTCTATACAGATCTGGCCTGATGTAGTCAGCTCTTTGCGCACTTGCAATAACAGAAATCTCTCCAGATAACCCCTCCATATTATCTCCGTCATGGCAATCTCGTCCAACCCCTATTTCCCTTCTTTTGAGAAACCATATTTCTCTCCGAATTGGCAAATTCTCTCGCTTCCTCCACTACCGATGAACTATTCTCAATCCATACTTCCACTTTTCATTAAAAACGGATACCACAAAATTATCGTGAACTGTGCCTTTAAGAGGCCTGCCACAGACCTTTTGAATATCATGCTACAGAGTTAACTCTTTTGTAAGTACTTCACTGGTCTTCTTGATATCATATCGATATGACATGCCTGTTTCTTGGAATGAATAGAGAGCATTAATGGCTGGGTAGAGTGAGAACTACCCAGTATGTACTGAGGCAAGCATGGAGTTCGACCCTGTAAAGTCAGTCTATGATTGACCATGTAATGCAAGCTCTCTTCCAGATGAACTATGGCGGTCGTTAGTGGAACAGCTAGGTCTTACAAATACTTGTGAAGGACAGGAGATATTCAGTTCAGTTACTAAGGCCTTCCTCAAAAGGCGAAGATGGTTAAGGGGTGAGCGATGCTCTATCACTTACACATGGTACACGATGCGATCCTCGTCCCAGCGAACCAAGCCTTCCATGCTTCCGGGGTTTGAACCCCCGGAAGCAGACTCGTCTGGGGGAACAAAGTACTGACCTGTACATCGTTCAGCCATAGCATGCCATTGTATAGGCGACGTGCACAATCCAAAGGCCATTGCGGTTCTCATTGGAAGTTGAATGCGCGGAGCATCCCAAACACGGGATTGATTCATTAACCATACTAGGACAAGCTTGGTACCAAACCGTTGGGGGTTTGTCTGGATGTGATTTCAACCCGGAAACTACGCAAACGTCGCCAGTCTAGACCACTACCCATAGGGGCCAAAGCAGGGGAAAACGCCGAAGTCCAAANATCAGAGGGGGCTTCGAATTCAAACTATATGCAAATCTCCGGAACCACCTTTTCCTGACCTGTGCCTTTAAAAGTCGATGTTGATGTTTTCTCCCTTACAGGAGCTACAATTAATCAACCCCGTTGAGAGGGAAAGACCTGCTCGGTCGGAATCGAAACATCAAAGCCGGCTGTAATTGCAAAAACAGTATCGTTCCTTTTCATACTGAACCACTGCAGAACTGACAGGTAAGCCTGAGAGATTTTTCAAAACCAACTGTTTCTTGTTTGTTAGAGAGGGTGGACCAAAGCCAGTATGGGAAGAGAAACAGTGAGGAACCAGTATCACAAATAACTTGTCGTCAGATACTCCCTGAAAAGGGAGTTTTCTAGAGGTTACCCTATCAATCACATGCAAATGATGTGGTTTTAGAGGAAAAACTTCCAAGAAAATGCACAACCAGTAGGTTGTTGACAAAATACGACACAGAATTACTTTTAAAAAGGCAATTGCAAGTTAATTCAGTTCTCCTTAATACCTATTCAACAAAAACTGTCAATGGTTTGTGTTGGTGTCATCAGAAACGATTTCAACTTGAACTGAGTAGGATACTGTCTGGAATACAGTAGGTAGGGATCATCTAAGCCGAACATCGACCGTACCACATTGGGGACTTTCTGAATTGTTCGGCTGGCTTTCAGAGTTACGTCTCTTCTTAATACTTCAATATGCTATTATTAAAAACCTATTACTGATTTTTTTCACCACAGTTACCATAATTTCCCACATGTAAGTGAGAAAACAGCTCCGCCTTCCCCGGATGGGTCTTTCAAAGAGTTTCCCACCATGATTGCTGGGACTGTGCCTTTAAATGGGAACAACGTTGATATGAAGCGAGATTGCAGTTGTTCTTATGCATCACTGAGAGTTCGCTCTAAGTCTTAGTAGGATAGAGATATCATGAGATTGACTACTCGGTGAGAACCTTGCCTGAAAAGGCAGAATCTGGTCTTTGTTTTGAATTCTGGATGATCCCTGGAGATGCATTATACATAGTTCAAATTTTGTGATCGAGTTCCGCCCAAACCCGAAAAGCCAATAAACGTCCCGGGAAACTAACTTGGCATCTGATCAGATGGACCCGAAAAGCCAATAAGTACTCTGGAGATTTAATATGGTACCTGATTAGACGGAGGTAGGTCTAAGTTGCCTGTTTGGACATCTGCTGGTCGCTTTATTTCATTCACCAACTCGAACCTTCGATCCAACCGCTAATGCACTTCTAAAAAGTCGAGTGCATGGCGCATTATGAAAAAGAATCAATAGCAGCGGTTCCTTCTTCATTTTAGGCATTAATATGCATGGCTACAAGAACAGGCCTTTGCGAAGGGACAGCAAAGACTGAACCTGAAACAGGGCTTCCAAAAACTCGAACGTTCATGTGGAGAACATGAGGAGCTGCCAGAACCCAAAATAAACTGTTGCCCACTCGGGAGAAATACTTCTTGGGAATCACAGTACCTCACGACTTTTTTCTGATACGAATGTTTCATACCCCATCCTGTAAATATGGAGTTGGAGAGGGGTAGAGCAGTGCAAGTGAAGCACATTACGCATATGGTCGTGGGAATGATTCCTGGATCATTACGCTCAGCACAGCCATTCTTGTGATCTTCTCACTTTTTGTTTTTTAATTGTTGGCCCGAGCGAAGGTGGTGTAGTGGCAAATGACGCACTATCCCATACGCTTATTCATGGCCAGGAAACGGCTTGAGGGGCCCGTTTTTATTGGAAAAGCGGAAGTACAAATTGGAAATAGTTCATCGGTAGTGAAGAAAGCGAGAAAATTCGCCTATTTCGAGGAGAATATGGCTCCTCCAAAGTAAGGAAAATAGAGGCTGGACGAGATTACCATGACGGAAANGTCTGAATTGAAAGTTCCAAGATAAGTAGACTACCCCTACCTGGTAAGTTGCCTGTTTGGACATCTGCTGGTCGCTTTATTTNCGAGGATACACACGCGCCAATCTTTGACCCTTTATAACTTCCTAACTAGCCCGCTTTCTGACCTTATGGAGCCAGATATGATGGAAGTGGGGGCCTCAAATTCATCCTGTGGGGAAATCTCAGAAACCATTTTTATCGTGAACTGTGCCCCTTCAAATATGAACTTGCTCAATGCAGCCTACCTGAGAGGTTGAACAAAGCAAGATCGACAGCGTTATGACTACATCTTTAAAAATCTCGTAAGAACAAATGGAACCTGCGTAAGTATACTTAGAGCCTCAACTGTTCCACCTGAAGCGGTCTAAATCATTGACAAAAAATCGAAACTCCCGCTAATGGTACTTCATAGAGGTTTTGTTCATCTTCTGGAAACAGAATCCCAAGACTAGCTGTCCGGGGAGTATGAGTTCTTTGAGAAGTGATTGTAAAGCTCATGACAAATGTGCTAAGGTAATTCAATGAAGTGGGTTCCAGATAAAATGTGAGAGCGGTTAAATGACAAACAATTTCTTAGATTACCCGATGTACCTCGTTGAAGTGGTGATACGAAAGCTCAAGTGGGGAAACAATGGAGAATATCGAGCGAGTTACAGGGAAGTGAAATTAGCAGACAGTCTTCGATGCTTTCCTCTCTCTGGGCGCTTTGGACCATATCAATCAACCCTGTCGTGAGGGAAAGACCTGCCCAGTTAGAGTGCCAGCACCAGCAGGGGAGCTGATCGTTCATTCATGAAACAGCAAAAACAGGGCTACCTGACAGTTTAGGAAGAAACTGAAGATCAGAGGGTTTTTCGGAGTCGAAATCCCCCCTCTCGGATGGTTTTGAGAGTGCTAAGCTATCTCGTGGCCGACGATAGGTTTGCTACCCGAGAATGGTAGAGTCTCAAAGATTTGCTACTTGCGAAGGGTCGAGTTCATGAAATTTTGTACTAGCGGTTACCGTTCGCAAGTTTTTTGGGATAAGTAATCATCATGCGATACAATGACATGGGTTGTAGAGCCTGGTTTGGATGCCAGGGTGTATTTACCTCATCTGCCAGGCTTCTACTAATCTCTGTCTATGACTGTCTCTTCATATGATTACTGTACCAGAAAATCCGCTAACTGTGAAGTCATGTGAAGTTGTGCATGGCGCGATTCGAACGGAAGTTTTTCAGTATGCTAGTTCGCTAATTCTGCGATTCAGTTATCAGGAACAGAGG